ACAGGTTTGTTGAATGTGAATATGCAGGGTCCATCTAAAGAATACTTTTATAAAGTATTTCGGGTGACCCAAAACAAACTCTACATTGTGAAGCCATTGTGGAAATATATGATATAGAAAACTGGGCATAAGTAATTTTTAAATTCCCATAATGATGTTTATATCTACTTCTAGGGACTCACCTAATTACCTTGAGATATAAATTCACTAACACTATTCTGCAAGAGTAATAGGAAGCCTTTTAAATTCAAAGCTGGTAAGTTAAACAATAAAAGGAACATTAATAGCTAACGATTCATTCAAAATTAAGTACATAGAAAATACGAAATTCTGCATTTCATTTTATAGCTTTTGGGGAACAGGCTAGCTTTCCTTTTTCTTTTTCCTCTCTCTCCTTTAAATACTGATGAAGAAACACAAGCATTTTCCATTTAAATAAGTTCCCTGGGATGAACCTGTCTCAATGGTTTGATTAAAATCAATTGGAAAAACATGATTAGCCCTGTTAACGTATAGAAAAAGTATGCTGAAGCAGTCGTGTTCTAATTATCCTTCCACATTTCACTCTGGAGAGTTTGCCTAGCTGGAGCAGCCAGGGTTTCCTAGATTCAACCAAACAATTTATTTCCTTTCCCTCTGCTTTTCAAAGGAAAAACAGCTTATTTTAAATTAACAAGCATGTGGGAAAAGAATGAAATTTTAAAATGCTACATAGTTTCTTCCTGGAAATACTTTTGTAGGGTACCAAACTCATTGAGGTAATTTCCAGATCTCCTAATGATGACAAATATTTCTAATTATGAATAAATGTAAACTAAATATTTTGATGTTGATAGTCTGTCCTTTTGCAATATTTTCTGTCTACAAATGACTTGTCTCCAAATTTCCTTTTTGCCTTACTATAAAGCCATTATACCTAAACTGCTGCTGTGTCCAGTATTTCTGTACTTGAAAAAAAACACATTCATTATGGTAAGAAAATGCTTATGATCAAATGCTCTTTTTCATAATTACCACAGAGCTGTTTAATGATGACTGGCCCAGTGAGCTCTAAAATTCTATATAAAGAGAAGGCATCCCCATTGCCAAAATGAACTGAAATCCATTTCTGAGTCCTATAGGATAATTTTATATAACATTTATGTTTTTTCCAAAAATATTTGAAGATATCATGCCAGACATACAGTAGATATTAATGACATTTACTGAATCGATTTATTGGTCATCATTTGATGTCAGTGGGATTGCAGGTATCTCCCTAGACCAAGTGTTCTAGTCTGTTTCATGTTGCTATAACACAATACCTGAGATTCAGTATATAAAGGAAACAGGTTTATTTAGCTCACAGTTACACAGGCTGGGAAATTCAAGGGCATGGCCCTGCCTTCCACTGAGGGCTTTTATGCTGCATCACAACAAGGCAAAGAAGGTCAAAGCAGAAGTGGACATATACAAAGAGACAAGGCCCGAGGAACATCCTGGTTTTGTAAGAATCTACCGTCTAGGGAATTTGTTTATTCCCATGAGAATTTTTCCAGTGTCCTCCGAGTGAGATTTCCCTCACTACCTGGAGAACTGCACCAAACCGTTCATGAGGGATCCACCCTCACAACCCAAACACCTCCTGCTAGGCCCCACCTTCCAACACCACCAAGGTGGGGAACAAATTTCAATGTGGGTTTTGGAGGAGACAAACTCAAACCACATCACCAAGATATACACAGAGACTGCAAGTGATCCAACTCCACAAGATGAATGTCGTGAAAGCTATGGTTCTTTCCACCCATCTAGTTAACTTGCAGATGGCAGGCAACATATTCAGTCCTAGAATACTATTATTACAGATTCTGGCTCATGCAGAAGGGATTACACAAAAAAACTACAACTGTGAAACAAAGTCACCAACGGGTTACATTTGGCGTAAGCAATTAATTGAATGGCAGAATAGCCAGGTTGTCATACAGAAATTGCCCAAAGAGCCATGATGAAAATTTATGGAAATAAGGGTCTCTTTTTTATAGAGTATGCTTGTTTCAAAAGTGGATTCTGGGAACCTTACTCTGGCATCTAGTTAAAATGAGCACCCCTGCATGGAGCCATGTGTGATGAGCTAGGCAGAGGTAACAGTGTAGTCTATCATGGAACCTTCTGTGATAGGTTGGGCAGAGGAAACAATGTGGTCTATCTGTTCACCTCTGTAAAGCAACAGATTCTGAAAGGCAGCAATTAGGATTCAAGAAGCAGCATCAGCAAAAAATAAAGAGCACTTTTTCTAAGTTTGTTATTTATTCAATCCATCCTCCATTCACTATTTACTGAGTATATACTATGTGCCAAATATTGCTGTGGGCACTGGAGATAAAACACTGAAAAGTGAAGGCAAAACTCTTGAGATTCTTTATTTTAGCAGGAGCTGGGGAGAATGAATAAGCAAACAAATGAATCCAAACTGATTCAGAGAGTGAAGTATTTTAAATACAATGAGATAAGGGGATTCAAAGAACTCACTGGGCAGATTAGATTGGATGGTCAGATGAAACCTTTTGAGGTGGTGATATTTCTGCAGACATCTATGTGATGTTAAAGAGTCTACTATGCAAAGATCTGGTGCAGCAGATTCCCAGCAGAAAGAATAGCAAATACTACAAGCTAGATTTCTTCAAGAAACCTAAAGAAGCAGGTCTACATGGTTAAAACACACATAGCCATGGTCTATGGGAGCATAGTATAAGATAACTAGGCAGGGGCAATAGTATATAGAACCTTCTAGGCTGTGGTAAGAATTACAAACTGTATCTGAAGTGCAATGAAAAAACTCATTTGAGAGTTTTTTTTAAAAAGGGCGTGACATAATCTGATTATTTTTAAAAGATCGCTCAGCTCTTGGGAGGGTGTTGTTTGTGGTTGTGGAAGACAGATATGAGCAGATAGAATAGGAGGCTTTTGTGTTCGCCCAGGTGAGAGATGACAACAGCTTGGACTAAGGTTACAGCAATAGAAAGGAAGCAAACTAGATGACTTGGGAATGTATTTTGGAGGTGAAGAAAACATGACTAATTAATAGAGTGTGGGGATGAAAGAAAGCACCAAAACTTCTAAATTTTTGGACTGAACATGAGTAGAACAATTTGAGGAGGAACAGGTTTGTAGGGAGTGGATATCTGGAGTTCTGCTTTTGAGATGTGTGTTAACCATGATAATAATAGTATCTACCTTGCAGCGCTGTTGTGAACAACGAATAAGAAATATGAGGAGAATTTAGATCTGTATCTAACATGTAGTAATTGTTCAATAAATATCAGCTTCGACAATTATTCCTCAAGTGGAGATGTACAGGTAGTTGAGGACATAAAAGAGTTCTGTGAGAGGTCAGGACTAAAGATCTAAATCAGAAAGTTATATAGGATTCAATGCTGCTCAAACCATTTTTGGTGAAGAACTTTTATCTTTATCCACTGCAGACCAATACTGGATGTGTTTGTCTCTCAAAAATTCATAGGTTCACATTCTAACCCCCAAGGTGATGCTATAAAAAGGTGGAACCTTTGGAAGGTGGTCAGGTCATGAGGGTAGAGCCCTCATGAATGGGACTAGTGTCCTTATAAAAGTGACCCCAGAGAGATTCCTTGCTCACTTCCACCACACTAAGACACAGCAAGGAGTCCGCAGTCCATGAGCTGGGCATTGGGCCCTCACCAAATAAGGAATCTGCCTACATCTTGATCTTGGACTTCCCAGTCTCCAGAACCAGGAGAAACCAGTTTCTTTTGTTTATAAGCCATCTAGTCTACGGTATTTTGTTATATTGGCCTGAAAAGACGAAGGCAAATACTTTTGTAAAATCCAACCAAAATGAAGACACTTTGAAGAACACTAGTACTCAATGCCATACGAGGCCCTGGAGGAGGTCCTGAGACACATTTAACTCAAGTACTGGTGAGTGTCTGAGGGTGGAGGCACAGGAGAGTTCAGGCTGAAATAACACAATGCCTGCCTACATGAACACACAAGCAAGGGGAAATCACATACATTTACAAGTAATCCGTTTTAATTAGGTGTAAGAAAAAAAGCCCATTCACTCCTGCAGGAACTCACTCCTCTTCCCCCAGATGTGGTATCTGAAGAGCAAGACACTGCTTCTCCACTTCCTCCGCACAAACACTTCAGTCTAATCATGGGAGATGCAATCTAGCGCTCGGGTTGCATTAAGTATCCCAAGCTCCCTCCCTATCAGGCTGGGCTCCACTGGGGCACAGAACGATTATCAGACCTGATAAATACCAAGCTGTCCCCTAAGGATGCTCTAGGCCCCAAGCATCAGCACCTCCGTTAATAATTCACCACTCTTGCCTTGTCATCGGCTTCTCCCCACTCAAAACTCTGCTCCCGCGAGTGGTCCGGTGCCTGAGGCAGCTGGCATGGGCTAGGTCAGAAGGCACCTGCACTGATTCTTAGGAGAAAGGTCTTCTTTCTGGGTGAAGAAATCAATAAAGTAAAGGACGCTTCATAAAGTCCTTCGGGAAGCAAAACTTGCTTAACTTCACACTTTCCTGAACCCCCGCGCAGGGACTGCTTCCTTCGGGACCTGCGGCAGGCAGGCTGCTGCGCCTCACAGACCGGCTCCTGGGTCTTCCGTGCAGCCCAGGACAGCAGCGCGCGGGCTGCGGGCGAGTGGAGTTGCAGGGGCCGGGGCGGAGGGCCGCTGTCACCCAGGGAAGCTCTCGGAGCTCCGGGGCTCCCGCGAAGCTCCGGACTGGCGTCGCCGAAGCAGACAGTCCCGGCCGAGCCCCTCAGCACGGTGGGCGCCCCGCCCAGACGAGCGCGCGGGGCGGGGCGGGGCCGGGGGCCGCCCGCGGAGGGGGCGGGGCCGGGACGCTCGCGGCCGCGCGCCGGGGCTGAGAAGCGGCCCCTCCGGCCGCGCGGGGCGAGGGGCTGCGCCGGCCCGCGGGGCGCATGCGCGCTGCCGAGCGGCCCTCGCTCCCTCCCCGCCCACCCCTCCTTCCTCCCCCTCCCCCTCCCCTGCATCCTCGCCGCTCTCGCTCTCTCCTCGCCCGCTGGGTGTTGAAGTTGGGCGGATGGCAGCAAACCGGCTCCGCTAGAGGACCGAGCCGCCCAGCCCCGTTCCCCCGGACCCATCGGCGCGCTGCCCACACCTCCAGGCGACCGGGTAAGACGCTGCCTCCAAACCGAGCGGTGCTAAGTAAATGACATCAAAATGTCTGCTTTGCACCAATGGATGGATTTTTTTCAAGGTGGGGGGGAGGTGAAGGAAGGAGGGGGCGGAGAGCGCGACAGCCCGTGCCCGGGCGGGGGCGGCTGCGGGGCGCGGGGGTCTCGGCGGCGGTCGCGGCCCCCTGGGCGGGAGCGGGGGCCGCCCCGCGGGTCCGGGAAGTTGAATCCCGCGTCGCTGCCTGGACGCGGTCCGCTCGCCGCCCTCAGCTGCTGCGGGGAACCGGGCGAGTGTCCTGCCCGCCGGCGGACGAACGCTCGGCGGGGTACCGGAGTTCCCGCGGAGAGCCGGGCGCCTGCGGGGGGCGGCCGGGAGGGCCTGGCTGTGGGCGCGGAGACCCCGCAGGGGCGCGAGGGGCTGCGGGTTCTGTGCGGTCGGCTGGGAGCGAGGGGAACGTGCAATCAACAGTGTCCAATGCACCGGTCACCTCGGCTGCTGTGTCTCCTCCCTCGTCTCTCTTCACCTTTGGGAAATGCACGGCTCAGGTGGGGAAGGTGTTCGCGGTAGAGGTTGCAAAAATGAAGCCTTTGAGCAGCGGCGAAATACCGGAGGGGTGTGTGTGGTGTGTGTGTGTGTGTATGTATGTAGGGGGTGGGGGTCTCTTTTGTTCCTTCCCCTCCCCTTAGTGAAAGGAAAGGGAGTCCTGGCGTGTGCGGCGAGGGGTGGATTCCACGGCCACCGAGGGGGCGAGGAGGAGGAACGCCCACCAAACGCGAGCCGCTGCCCGGGTGGGCGCATCAGAGCCTCCCTTGCTGTAGGTGATGATGATCTTTCCGTGACCTATGGAATCAGTTTCATCGCCGCCTCCCCGCCAGCCTCCCTGCTCTCCCTCTTCGAGTGCTGCGGCAGAGGCTGGGTGCAGACGCGGCCGCTTTCTCCTCTTCTCCCTGCCTCTTTGCCTCCCTGAAAAATGCCAGAGGACTCGAGGATGGTTGGGGTCGGAGCTGGCCTCGGAAGCCGCGGATGGGAGCTGCTCCTTGCGAGCCGGAGGCTGCTGGCGTCGCGTCCGGGGCAGCCCGCGCCAGCCTCGGGAGTCCATGGGCTCCGGGGAGAACAAGCCCGTGTCGCCTGGGCACAAAGATGCCCGCGCGCCCGCCCTGCGTTCGGGACCCGCCCTGCGCCCCGTGCCGAGCCCGGGACGCTGGCTCACCTGGGAGAACCCCTGTCCCCCGGGGACGACTGACCCTGGCTCCTGGCAGAACTCTGCTGACCTCCCCTGACCTTTCCATACAAGCATATCTCCTTAAAAGAGTCACTGTAAGATTTGTCTGGAGAACTTCACACGCTTCAGAGTTGTTTCCTTCTTTCTTTCTTTTCTTAAATTGTTTTACAGCGAGATTCTCTCCAGGGTGGGATGGCTTTCCCAAATAATAAAGAGAAATCTTAGTTTGGTTCCCATGTAGAATAAGCAGTTCTGAGGCTGGGTGCCATCTGCATTTCCGGCGTTTATACCAACTGGTTTTCCGGGTGATGAACCCTTCTGAAAATCATTTAATTGAAGACGTGAGAATTGATTTTTATTAGTGCAGTGGAAAATAATGTTTTCCTCCTCGGTTCATAGCTGCTAGACGCTGTGTGTACGATATAATGTGCAAACTGTGAAACATTTAAAGTATATTGTACTTATTTCTAAAGTCTTTTGTATTGAAAGTATTTTCCGAGAAATATACATTATAGCACTCCTATCTAATGAAAAGATGATTTAATACAAATGAATGAGAGGTTTGCCCTCCTCCAGTTGTTACTATTGTTAAGCCATTAATTCTGTTAATGTGAACTAAAACAGTAATGAGCACACTCATGGGAGACTGAATTTATTGACTTGTTTTTATAATCTTTTGAAACCTACACTTAGAGCGACCATGGGAAAGTAGTTTCTTTAGTTTTTGGCAACTAAAAAACAAGTGTTTGTTATTAGAAGAAGATTGGGTGGTATTCTTTATTAAATAAGATAAATCTCCATGGCAATGACACCTGATCTCAGAGCCATGGGCACCCATCCTTCCTCCTGAAACTGTAGTCTGAAAGATTAGGAAACCATCTAATTTACAGAACAAACAACATAAGGTGCCTGTTATGCTGATTGGTTTCAACCCTTTTTACTCTAGTTCCTCAACTACTCCTTGGCGTTTAGTCCCCATGGAAGGGAATTAACAAGGAGGGTTAATTTACTGACCTGTTCATTCTAAGGCAAACAGCATTTCCTTCTCAAATAGGTATCTCTTTGGTTGTAGGGATCTTCCTCTGAGGTTCTAGTTTATTTGAACTCATCATATTTAAGGTCTAACTTCATTATCATTCCTATGAACTTTTTATACTTTTGCATAATAATAATAATAAAACTTCCTTAACCTTTCCTACCATGAGGGCCAACGTCTTTGAAGAAAAGGAGAAACATATTCTTACCCATTTTATCTTTTTGTAACAGCCAAGCAAAAGTGAAAATTTTAAATCTGAATTGATACAAATTCTGGTTGCCTTACAGAGTAAAGTCTAAGAAAGAATTTACTTGTTAATCTAAAGGTGTAGAGATAATTGCCTTTGTGTCAGAAGTCCATTTGCTGAAATACGGGCTTTCTTGGAAAAGGAAGATAGGCATGGGTGATGAGGTACCATGCTAAGAGGGCTGGGAATCCATTCAACCACATTTCTGCTGACAACCCTGTTTCTGATACTCTCCAGCTCTCCTTACTTAACACTGAAAATACTGCATTAAGGAGATGGGCAAATCGAAGGACCACTATATACCCAGAGGATGAGAATAATGCTATGTGATATTAAAAGCATTTTATTTCACCTGATTGCTATAGAGTGTAAGTGTGAATGCATTGTGGAGGCTTAAAATTATATGACATTTCCGAGGGAGTATCATGGGTGCTCAGACAAATACATTTTTATAGAAAACCTTAAAAAAATCCTTTGCTATAGGTAAGTAGGTAGCCAAGACTTTCAATGTGAGTTTGATGGATACTCCCACCTTCCTTCTCTCCCCATCCACACTTATCTCTGAAAAAAAGACACTTTTTTAACTTCCAAAGAAATTTGTTTAGACTATTATTTCTGCCATTATGCCAGCACCTATATATACTATACAGTATCTGGCAAGGGCAGGTGTAAAATAATTTTTCCTAAATTAATAAATTTTTCACAGTCAACCTGGCTCACAAAAGTCTTCCAAGATAAGAATTGCATTTTTAAAATTAGCACTTATGCCGTTTACCAAGTACTCTAGTTGCGCTCCTAAAAATCACGTTTATAGTCTTACATCTTTGGAGGAAGTAATTTTCAGAATTGTCATTTTGAGAATATGTATGTGTTTAATACAATTATATTACTGATTTGTTTCCCAATTTTAAAAGCAATATTTGCTTGTTTTAGATCCCTATTACACAAAATTACCTGTGGGCTGATATGGATATGATGAGCACTAATTTTGAGTCAAGCTGGCCTTAGCTTGTGTTGTGGCTCCTCCCTTTAATAACTTAATTGCTGTAGGCAAGTTACTAATCTCTCTGAGCTTCAGTTTCCTCAGATATACAAAAGGGATAAAAGAAGAATGCAAACATAAATACAATGCAATATATATGAAGTACTGAACATGGTGCCTGGCATGTACTGAGTGCTTATGATTATCTCAATACCTAAAGAACTGCTACTGAAAACACCGGATAGTTTGCCACAGGTTTATTTCCTTTATATAAATGTACCCTTGTCTTAAGAATTTGAATCATAATTGGCTGGGCACAGTGGCTCACGCCTGTAATTCCAGCACTTCGGGAGACTGAGGCAGGTGGATCACCTGAGGTCAGGAGTTTGAAACCAGCCTGGCCAACATGGTGTAATCCTGTGTATGCTAAAAATACAAAAATTAGCCAGGCGTGGTGGTAAGTGTCTATAGTCCCAGCTACTCAGGAGGCTGAGGCAGGAGAATCACTTGAACCTGGGAAATGGATGTTGCAGTGAGCTGAGATCTTACCTCTGCACTCCAGCCTGGGTGACAGAGCAAGACTCTGTTTCAAAAAAAAAAAAAAAAAAAAAGAATTAGAATCATATTATAGAACAGGGGTCCCCAACCCCTGGGCTATATAGATGGGTACCAGCCCATGACCTGTTAGGAACCCAGCAGCACATCAGGAGGTGAGTGGCTGGTAAGTGAGCATTACCTCCTGAGCTCCTCCTCTGGTCAGATCAGCGGCTGGCATTAGATTCTCATAGAAATGTGACCCCTATTGTGAACTGTGCACACAAGGAATCGAGGTTGTGCACTCCTTATGAGAATCTAATGCCTGATGAGCTGACGTTGAACAGTTTCATTCCAAACTATTCTTCCACCCCACTGCCATCCATGGAAAAATTGTCTTCGACAAAACTGGTCCCTGGTGCCAAAAAGGTTAGGATGGCTGTTTTAGAACTTCATACTTCTAAATAAAAGTTAACATTCCTTTGTTGCTGTTTCTTAAGAAACTAAAATTGATATTTTTTATGTGATTTGGTGACTGAAAAATAATTCACCTTATGGATGTCTTTAGCCATTCTTTTACCTTTGGTTTTTGATCTTATACTTAAATTTTGTGTGTGTATCTCTATTGCAGTTTCTCCTTTGGGCTCAATGCTTAGAACAGCCAGTTCATGCCAACATAATGCCATTCTTTAAAAATCTTTGCTAACTTGATAGGTGAAAATAACATTTTTCAAACTTTTATTTCTTTGGCTACCAATAAGACTGATTACTTTTTGACATGCTGATAAGCAGTTTTTGTCTTTGAGAATGGCTTGTTCAAGTCTTTAGCCTGTGTTTCCCCTGCTGTACTGGTACATTTTTCTTATTTGTTTGACTACTAATGTTAATTTTTTAAAAGGCAAAAGCAAACAAAGAAAGAAAATGCTTAGTGACAAAGACTCCAAGTGGCAAAGACTACAAAGATCACTGCGGCTAA